GTTTAAAATCTTATCACATCTCCTTACTCTTGCCCACAGCACTATGGCCCGAGCCAGAGAATGACAGCATGTTACAGCTGACCCAGATATTGGAGGTCATCCTGTCCAGAGCCCTGCAGGCTGCAATAATGAAACAGTGATGGGAAGAACCCTCACAGCCATGCCCATGGGATGGGCATCCCCTGCCCACCCATCCACAGGCCAGCACAGAAGAATAGACCCAGCCCCAGTTGGCTCTCCATTTTCCATAACATAGGGGAGAAGTGGTCTACACAAACCTCTAGATAGAAGTAACTTTTAAAAAATAATCTTTATTTTGCTTTGAGATAAATTATAAGGTTCAGGTATTCTCTTCCCCCTCCCAGTACATTTACTTTCCTACTAATTTAGTGCACAAATCGTTGTTGTTCGTGACCCCAAGTGGGGTTTTCTTGGCAAAGATACTGGAATGATTTGTCATTTCCTTCCCCATATCATTTTACAGATGAGGAAACTGAGGCAAACAGAGTGAAGTGACTTGCCCAGAGTCACACTGCTAGGAAGTGTCTGAGGCCACATCTGAACTCAGTTCATTCAGTTCACTCAGTTCACTCAGACCTGAGTTCACTCCAGAGTCAGTGCTGTCCGCTGTACCACCTGGCTGCCCTCACGGATGCACAAATAATTCTGAGCAATTAAATCACAAGATCTTAGATCCGGAGCTAGGAGGGACCCCTGAGGCCCTCTGGCCCAGCCTCTTCATTTTACAGATGAGGAAGCTGATGCTTAGGCTGAGGCTAACATGACTCCCAAAGTGGCATTGCACCCCAGGTGTACATAGGCGAGGGAAATCTGGAACTTGTGGGAAGAGAAGGGAATAAGCACTGTGCTCATTGCTTTTTTCCAAGTATTATCTCGGTGGATCCTTACAACAACCCTGGAAAGTAAGTGCTATGATGATCCCCATTTTACAGTTGAGAAAACTGAGGCAGACAGTAAGAGATTTGTCCAGGGTCCCACAGCTAGTAAATGTCTGAGGCAAGATTTGAACTCAGGTCTTCCCGGCCCCAGGCCCAGTGCTCTATTCACTGCTTTGGAAAGAGCAAACTTGTAGGAGTGAGAGCATTTCTATGCCCTGTATGTATATATCCTAATTGTACATCAGGGCTTGCATGCTGTCTCCCCCATTAAAAAGTGACCTCCAGGGGCAGCTAGGTGGCACAGTGGATAGAGCACCGGCCCTGGATTCAGGAGGACCTGAGTTCAAAGGCGGCCTCAGACACATAACACTTACTAGCTGTGTGACCCTGGGCAAATCACTTAAACCCATTGCCCAGCCCAGGAAAAAAACAAATGTGACCTCTTTAAGGGCAGGGACCCTTTTTTGGTAGCTCCAGCATTTAGCCCAGGGCACACAGTAAGTGCTCAAGAAATGCTTATTGACTGATTGATTGAAGGACCACATCATGGCTATGACTATATGGTCTATGTGTACATCTGAATCCAATTTTTCCCTTTGTGTTGGGACATTTATTACACACACACACACACACACGTGCGTGTGCACACCAGGCCTGGAGTCAGGAGCACTGAATTCAAATCCGGCCTCAGACACCTACTTACCAGCTGTGTGACCCTGGGCAAGTCATGTCACCTATTTGCCTCAGTTTCCTCATCCGTAAAATGAGCTAGAGAAGGAAGCAGCAAACCAGTCCAGTGTCTTTGACAAGAAAATCCCAAATGGGGTCATGAAGGGCCAGACATAGCCGAACAACAATAACAAAAATGTGTGTAAATATTCCCTAGACAGAGAAGCAAAAGGAGTTCTGCCCCAGCTCACCCCCACCCCAACACAAGCATGCACACCTTCTCCCCTTCACCCAAGAAGAAAACGTGCTTGCTTCTCTTCAAAGCAGACAAGGTTCGCCTTGCCCATTCATCTGGGGTCTGTGTATAAGGAGAAGGGTTTTCTTGGAAATGGGCGTCAGTAATTCAGGACTCCTTTCGTCAGAGGCGCACAAGGTCCCCGGGTACATCAGCATGTGCAGTGGGAGCCTCCAGGCTGGAAGGCTGCTATTGAAGATTACTATCCCATCCAGCCGGGCAGCATTTACTAGGCCTGTGTGATCCCGGACAAACACCCCGGGGCAGCAGAGTAAACCCAGAGGCACTTTCAAAGACAAACAGACTCCCATCACCTCCCCTGTGTCCTCTCGCCCCGCCCGCCAGAAATGGATCGAAGGGTGGAAGAATTTCCTGGGAAGCCATCTAAGCTTCAAGGGGAGCTTTGCTAAGAGGTCTACACTTCAAGTGGAAACTCAACTCAGCCACGAAAGACGGGCCCAGGGTGAGAAGTCAAGGGGGGAGGGCTCGAGAGTGAGTCAAAACAGAAACGCTCAGCAAAGCAGACTTTGTTTAAGTGATGCCCCGAGTGTCTGAGTTGAGAAACGTTGGCCGAAGCCATCCGTGTTAGTCGCTGCCAGTTTGACATGTGGCGCCCACAAATGCAGCAAGCAGAGCGTCCTTTCTGAGCCCAGCGAGAGCCTGGGAAGGGGCTCTGCCAGCCTGGAGGGGTAAACAACCTTATTATTCTTCAATGGAGAGCCAGGCCCTACCCCTCTCGGGAAATTATACAAGTCAAAACACAAACAGCCTCAAGCTTGGCAAACTATACTCAACAGCAGGGACACAGGACCCCAGAAGGCCCCGGGGTTAGCTCAGGTGCTGCCACACAGACTAGGAAGGAAGAAACAAGCATTTACTTAGTGCAGATTATCTTGTTAGACCTTCAAAGCAATGCTGGGAGGCAGGTGCTGTTATTACCCCATTTTACAGAAGAAGAGACTGGGGTAGACAGAGGTTAAGTGACTTGGCCAGGGCCACAAGGCTGGTACGTGTCTGAGGCTGGGTTTGCATTCAGATCTGTCCTATTCCAGGCCCAGCACTCTATGCACCATGCCACCAAGGTGCCTTTGGCTGTATTATACTGGATGAGTAATTTAAACTGAGTCTCAGTTTCCTCATCTGTAAAATGGGAATAATAATAGCACCTACCTCTCAGGGTTGCCATGAAGACGAATTGAGATAAATATTTGTAAAGTGCTTAGCACACATGGGTGCTTAATGAATGTTTATCCTTCCATTTCTACTTCTAAGACCCACCCAGTTCAGGTTCTCATTACCCTGTTCTACAACCACAGGCCCCTGGCCAGTGTGCCTGACTCTTGATCCCATACGCTTTGTCTTCCTAAAACACTGCTCTGATCACGCCATCCCCATGTTCAAAAATCCCCAACCTATACAGTCCTATCATCAGTGTGGTATGGTGAGTACAGCACTGGATCTGGAGTCAGGAAATACGGGTTCAAATCCCACCGAAGATGCTCACCATCTTGAGCAGGTCACAACCTGTTGGAGCCTCAGTTTCCTCTTCTGTAAAATGGGCACCATAATACTTACCCTACCTACATCATCACAGGGTTACCGTGAGGAAGGCACAAGATCAAGGGGAGAGTCATTATGATATAGAGGCAGCAGGATGTCATGGACAGAATGCCCCCCTTGGAGCTGGGAAGACCTGGGTTCAACCCCCCCCCCCAACACTTTGTGACTCTGGACCCTTAAGCTCTATCTGCCTAAACCCGACATCATGGATGGCTTGTGAGCTGCCCTGGTGTGGGGGGTTCCCATGCCAACATTCCGCACACTCGGAGAATCACAGATGGTTTTGTTGCTGTCACCAGTCAGTACATGGAAGCCTCCTTAAATTTGTTCATTTATATGTCTGGATTGCCCAACACGGATTTGATAAAGAAGTGGCTAATCAGCAAGCGTGCAGGAAACCTTAACTCTAACCAAGTTTGGGGGAGTGTGGGAATCTTTTTTTTAGGATGAAACATGAAGAATGCCAGGTTGGTATTTGCGTTGCTAAGGGAGGCATCTCTAGCTCGGGGGCAGCAGGGCTTGACCGGCTTACTAAAAATCACTAACTTTTCGTTTACCTTCTTGCGTTTGAGTTCTGGTGTGGTAGACTAGCACAGAGCATCAGCATTTATATATTTGGTGGATCTGATAACCCCCTGTGACAGTCCCTCTGAATCCAATTATTGCTGTGAACTCTAATTTAAGAGAAATCACATGCTCCAAGTCCAATGTCCCTAAAAACATTTGGCTTTCAAAGACCAGAAAGCTGTGCCCCGCAGTGCCAAACGTGATAAGAAACTATGGGACTGACATCTTGGTCACCTCTAGAGTTTTACTCACAATGACAAAAATTCCATAAAACTGCATTTAGGTCTTAGCCAAAAGATCACGATCAATTCTTCTTCCATGGGAACTGGTAAGCAATTAATTCCATCAGGAATCAAAATTAAGAGTAGACCTCCTTTTTGATTAACTCAAATTCATTGGTGGCCTGGTTGTGACATCTGGAGTCTGTCACATCTGGTTTAGGCTCAAGTTCTGACTCTAACTTTAAAAAAAGATTATCTAGGGGAAGCTAGGTGGTGCAGTGGATAGAGCACTGGCCCTGAAGTCAGGAGGACCTGAGTTCAAATCCGGCCTTAGACCAAACACTTGACACTAGCTGTGTGACTGTGGGCAAGTCACTTAACCCCAGTTGCCTAAAAAAAAAAAAAAACTGAAAAAAAATTATCTACTTTAGTTTGCTTGGTATAAAATTATCAGATACTGGAGTGGTTTGCCATTTCCTGCTCCCGTGGATTAAGGCAAACAGAAGTTAAGTGACTTGCTCAGAGTCACACAGCTAGTGTCTGAGGCTGCATTTGAACTCAGGTCTTCCCGACTCCAGGCACAGTCATGCCACAAGCTCGTGGCTTACAACAAAGTTCCCCTGATAGTGGCCCTGAAGTTTTATTTTTCCTCATCAGCTTTTGTCCTCAGCATCTGAACCTGGGGGGGGGGGGGTGCAGTATTCCTTTCCAGCAATGAATCATGTGACTAAAGAGATGTCAAAAAAAACCCTGAATATCCCATTAAACCAAAGCAAAGCCAAACAGTGCTGGATTGGTTTGGTTTTTTTTTTTCAATCCTGTTTTTACACAAGTAGGAATTTTCAACGAAATTCTCCATGAGAAATGTTAAGTTGTCATTTGGAAGTCTGTGGCCTCAAAACCCCATTGCGGTCTAGCAAAAGCAAATTGGACGGTGAAAGCAAGAAATCCAGGTTCTGGCCTCAGCTCCCTGTCACAGGCCAAAGACCTCCAGGGACCACGGGCTCCACAAGCCTTCTGTTGAATGCCTCCTCGGTGCAGGCAGGGTGCTGGGGATCCTCAGAGATCTCGAAGGACTAACTGATCTTCTGTGGGCGGTAGATGATTACAGCCTATGAGAAAATAAATAAATATATCTCCCCATTCTGACCCATAATGGCCGTGTGACCCTGTTGCATCGGCACTGGGCTTCAGGGCTGGAGCCAAGCCTCTCAAACCGTAACTTTCAAACAAGGTGCTGACCTCCATCCAGGGCGGAAGTTCCCCCTATCCATGAGGGATCCATGAGTCCAGTCCCTTAGGCAGGGAGGTGGTGCCCATCCACACTCACAGGGCCCCCCAAAATCTACCCAAGAACCCCTGCCTACGCTGCGTGACTCCACTATTGGCAGCTGCTGCCAAGCAGTTCTCAGATATTCTCCGGTCTGAGCCCCACCACAAAAATGAGGAAGCTGCCATAGCTATTAGCCCAGTTTCATGGACGGGGGCCTAAGAGGGCTGAGTGACAGTCAATGGCAGAGGTGAGATCTGAGTCCAATGTGCTGACCCCGCCTCGTGCTGCTTCCCTGAGAGTCAGGGGCAGCCAGAGGGGAGGGGGCACAGTCTGTGGTTTTTGCAGGCTATTGTAATAGTCCAGGTGTGATGTGATGAGGGCCCACAACGTCAGAGGAGAGGAGTGTATGAGAACCATTAATAAGGTCGAGACAACAGGCCTTAGTAACCGATTGGCTACTGGGGGGTAGGGAGTTGTCAGATACGAGAGAATGAGGAATGAGGAGGACATGCCAGGTTGTGAGCCTGAGTGACTGGGGGCGTGGTGGCGGCTTTGTGCCAGGGAAGTTAGAAAGAGGAAAGCATTTGGGGGAACAGAGAAGAGTTCAGTTTCGGACATGTTGAGTTGAAGATGTCTGGGTGGTCCCTAAGGTGGCTTTGTGGCTCAGTGGCTAGAACATGGGCCTGGAGTCGGGAAGACCTGAGTTCAAATGCAGCCTCAGACACTAGCTGTGTGACTCTGAGCAAGTCACTTAACTTCTGTTTGCCTTAATCCACCGGAGCAGGAAATGGCAAACCACTCCAGTATCTTTGCCACGAAAAGCCCGTGGACAGTATGGTCCACGGGGTTGAGAAGAGTCACACGACTCAACAACAACAACGGGATTTCTAGTTCAAGATGTCCAGCAGGTGGCTGGAGGCATGAAACCTGAGGCAGGGAGAAGGATGAGCGCTGGACAAACAAGACCGAGAATCGTCCGCACAAAGACCATCATCAAATCCAAGCAGCTGATGAGATCACAAAGCAAGACAGTGTAGAGAAAGAAGAGAAGAGGGCCCAGGACGGGGCCTTGGGGAGAAGCAGCATTATCAGGCAGCGGCCTGCACCAAGACCCAGCAGAGGAGACTGAGGGCAGCGGGACAGAGCGGAGAACCAGGAGAGAGGGGTCCTGAAAGCCTCGAGAGGAGAGGGTGACCCACGGCGGCAGAGGCTGCCGCGGTCAAGGAGGACAGAGACTGAGAAAAGCCATTGGATTTGGTGATGAGGACAGGGGTAGTCATGTTGGAGAGAGCCATTTCCTTTGAAGGATGAGGCTGGAAGCCTGACTGAAACGAGTTAAGAAGAGAGGAAGTGGAGGCACCTGCCTTCTCTGCGAGTTTAGCCACAAAAGGCAGGAGAGAGATGGGAGGACGGCTAGTGGGGGACGGAAGGAGGATGGAGGAGCCTCAAGGCTATTTGGGGGGAGTAGGAAAAGCAGCCGGGGGAGACTGGAGAGTTACTATCATACCTGCTTGTTGTGAAGGAGGATAGGGCCCCAAGCTGTGATTTCACTGGGATCGGGAATCCTCAGGTGAAAAAATGCCCTCTATCAAAGCAGATCAGCCCCTGCACTGACAGCTGTTCTCTTAGCAACTGCCTGGGGTGTTGATATTGGGTGACAGATTGGTACCTGCACCTCCAGCCCCCTTGATGTGCAGTTGTCCCCATAAGAATGTAAGGTCCTTGAGGGCAAGGGCCGGCATGCTTGCTTACGGCTACATCCCGGGCCCTTAACGCAGTGCTCGGCTAATAGCTAAGTAATAGCGCTTAATCACTAAACTTGACACCCCTGGGGTCACACAGCCAGTTTGTGTCAGAGGTGGGAGTCGTGTAACACTCTATGCACGAAGACAGACAGCGTTTTAGAACACTTAGAGGGCTCCAAATTTACTATCATTACTTTTTATGTGTTTGGACACAAAGTGTTAAGGAGACGTGTGTTATGACGTCAAAAGTACTAGCTCTCAAGTCTGGGGACTGAGTTCAAATGCCTCTGGTATTCACTCCCTGTGTGACCTTGTCTAAGTCCATTCCCCTCCCTAAAGCTCAGTGGCCTCATTTGCAAAATGAGGGGCTGAAGATGTGCTCGGTCTAGCCCTGTCCCTGTCTGTTTCTTCTCTTCCCTCCCCATCACTCTCCTCTCTCCTCTCTTTCCTGTCTCTCTCCTTCTCTCCCTCACTCCTCTCCTCTCTCTCTCTTTCACTCCTCTCCTCTCTTCTTTGTCTTTCTCCTCTTCTCAGTCTCTCCTCTCTTCCTCCCTATCTCTCCTTTCTTTCTCCCTCACTCCTCTCCTTTTCTTTCTCTCCTCTATCTCTTCCTTGTTCTTCCCTCTCCTTCCTTTTTCTCTCTTCTCTCCCTGTCTCTGTCTTTGTCTGTCTGTCTATGTCTCTGTCTGTCTCTCTTTCTTCTCTCCCAATGTGATCCCTCTTCCAATAAATCGACCTTCAGGTAGGGACCAGCAGGCCTTTCAAAGGCTTGGCCTAAGGCCTGCCGGACCCCAAACACAGCCTCGGGAGGTAATGGCTGAAGGGGTGGGGTATTAGGATTGTCACTGAGGTTAAAAGGTGAACTGGAAGAAAGATTCAAGGAGTCAGCAGGTCAAAGGCTTACCCACCCCTGCAAGGGCTCTAGAGGACCTGATTTCTCAACCTAGAAAAGGGCTTCCTAAAACTCCAGGCAAACTCAGCCTTCCCTTGAGAAGCACAGAATATAAAATAATGGTCTTAAGCAGAGATTTTTAACCTTTACTGAGCCTCGGATCTCTTCCACAGTCTGGTGAAACCCATAGACTCCTTTCTCAGAACCATGTTTTTCAATAATTGAAGGAAATGCTTACTTTCAGGTAGAGGTTTGTGAAAAGGAAAATGTAATTTTTTTTCTATCCAAGTTTACAGACCCCTCCCAAATGGTCCAAGGATTCCAGGTTAAGACCTCCCTGAGCTAATTCGGGGCCACAGTGAACGTACCGAACATCCAATATGCACGAAATGGCTAAAAATCTCTTAAAGCTGGTCATCAATTCGCAGAAAATTAAAGGGGTTGAGATTTTAGACAGTGAGTGACTTTGAGAATCCTAAAGTTTATGAAGTCGGAGGCTTCATTAGCACATCACAACTAGATAGACCGACTTAAAATTAGCCTTAGAACCAGAGGGAACCCAAACACATTATTAATGTTCCAAGACTCCATAAAATTCTGAATATGCCAATAATGCCATCTCCCACTTAAATCAATTTACACCATTAAGTTGAGAATAGAAACCTCACTGACTGATCACTTAATGCCCAGACAGGTACAGTGAAGAAACTGGACTGTCCCTGCTGACTTGACATACAATTCCAAATATTAATCTCAAACACGGCTTGCAAAAAAAGAAAAAAAACACCATTACTTGCAACTTCCCCTAAGGGTGTTACTTTTAAAGTTTTATCTGGAGGCACAGAAAAAACTCAAATATCAAAGTGAGGTTTACAAAGCCTCTTTGCAAGCCTTTGCAGGAGATGGTACAAGTATTGTTATTCCCATTTCATAGGCGGGGAGACAGTGACCCAGGGATGCGCCCGGGTGGTAAATGAGGAAGGTTTTTGACCCCAAATCCCTCTACTATCTCTCACAGGTCTAACGGCCCAATCTTTGACACCAGAGTCAGTCCCTCCCTCGAAATATCACCAAACTCCAAAATTATCCTGCCTCTCATTTTAAATCCCCTCCCCAAAATCTACCAGTTTCTTAATCTCCTCAAATCGGCCTCTGCAATCTCAATTAAAGTAGCCCCCACGGAGGTGTGAATGACTAAAGGAAAACTCCCTGAGGGAAGGAAATGGTCTCACAGCCCGGCTTTCCTTCTGTCTTTGTTATGCAAAGACAAATGGGCTGAATTGAACAGACTTTTATTTTTCAAGGAGGATCTGGGAAGGCTAAACCTTCCCCCTCCCGGCCAGCCCAGCAGCCAGTTAGAACTTAAGCCTGCAGCAATTTTGCTCCCTAGTTTCCATAAGAAAAAAAACCAACTCATCTAAATCTAAATATTAAAAAGTCACCTGCTTTCAAAATGTGTCTAAAGCATTGGGACTCATGAAAGTAGCCACACAAGAAGAGTATTTTTCTAGTTCCTTTCAATCACTTTTTTTCCTTTTCAGCTACTGTATTGTTAATGTTGTTGGCATCCTTTCTTTTTTTTATTTTTAGTTTTCAACATTCACTTCCATAAGACTCCCCAAGGCAGCGCGCAATCTGACACAGGCCCTACATGTACATCCCTATGAAACGTACTTTCAATTAGTCGTGTTGTAAAGAAGGATTAGAACCAAGCGGAGGAAGCACAGGAAAGAAGAAACAAAACAAACCCCCCAGGAACGAGGGAGGAGTCTGCTTGGAGCTGCATGCAGGCACTCTCCATCAGGAGCCTTGGAGCCTGCCCGTCCTTCCTAAGGATGCGCTCCCACCCTGGTCAATTCCCTTCCTTTGCTATTACCTCCAAGGGCAGTTTTTGAAAGCAGCTTCTCCATCACCACCAAGCCCCCTCCACACACCCTCTTCTGCCTGGAGGTGTTTGGGGGGGGGTCAGTCAGTGAGAATCCCACCACTCTGTAAAGTCTGGCCTCAGAATCGGTGGGACAAGGTCCTCTCTTTCTGGACTCATCTCATTTTCAATTCCACAAGCAGTATTCATTAAGCGCCTACTACGTGCACTTAATATCCGCTTTCATCTAGACTCCCCCCTTGGTCCATTCTCTAGAATCAAGACTGTTCTAAGTAGACCCTGATCAATTCAACCAGCTCCCCAAAGAAGTGGCCTCTTGAGGGGGTGTAAACGCCTCCCTTTGCCTCGGCCTCTGTCTTGCACCCCTCCTGCCCTCCCCACGCTTCTCCCCCCCATCTGCTCTGCTCTTCCGGCCCGGCCCAGTGGACTCCACAGGGTCCACTCCTAACAACTCGTTCCTTTTGGGTCAATCACCCAAACGAGCAAACATCAGGCTTCTCTCCTGGAGGCCAGGCGGGTGCTGGGGGCCAAGGCGAAGGTGAAAGGCCCTGCCCTCGAGAAGCTTACATTCTAACGGCTCCGGGGACCTTTGGGGATTCTAGGGTTAAGGACTCATTCCTCTCACCCTCCATAGCGCAAGCATTTATCGAGAGCTTACTACGCGCTAGGCCCGAGGCTACGCGGACAGAAAGGATGCCGGCTGCCCTCGAGGGGCTTCCATTCCCAGGCTGAAGGGCGCTTAGCCCCGGGCTGCTCCCCCCTCCTCTCCCCCCCGCCCCTCGGCTTCCGCTGGTGTCCACCCGCCACGTCCCGGCGGGCCCGCCCTCCCTCAGGCAGCTCCGCGCTGGCAGGGCTAGGCCCGGGCCCAGCGGGCGGGGGAACCTTTGTTCGGCGGCGCCCCACGCTCGCGCCCCCCCGGGCGGGAAAGGCGGTGGGACGCGGGTGCTCGCTAAAGCCCGCGGCGGCGGCAGTGCCCTGTGCAGTGTGCCGTGGCAGCCTGTGCCGGCAGAGCTGTATTGGCGGAGGGTGGGAGGCGGCGGCGCAGGCCGGCGCAGCTAGGGGGCAGCGCGGAGCAGGGACCGCGGGGGGCAGCGCGGGCCAGGGTCGGGCATCGTCGTCGGGGTCTCGAAGGGCAGGCGGGGAAGGGAGCGCGAGCGAGGGGCGCTGCGGGCCGGAGCGGACCGGACCGGGCTGGGCTTTAATCTCCCCGGGCCTCAGCAGACACGACCCCATCGTCGGGGCTTTAATCGCCGCGGGAGGAGCCGCCGCTGCGGTCGCCGGCCGAGATCATGGTGAGTGAGGCCGAGCCCGGGGCCTTCGACGGCTCGGGCCTCTGAGGGGAGGCGGGCGCGGGGCGCCTCGCCCGGACGAGGCCGCCCGCCGGGCCTTGCGGCCTGCGGCCCACGCCTCACGCCTGTGCCCAGCAGCTCGGCCCCGAAGCTCTGCGCCCGCGGCCGACCTCGGCGGCCATGTGGGACGGCCTTCTGGGGTCCCCACCCCTCAGAACCTGTGGTGATCTCCCTCCCCTCCCCCACCTCCCCAAAGTCCTGAGGGAAAGAAAAAGGCCGAGAGGGAGGGGGAGGGGGGAGCGTTTGACCCTGAGTTCGAGGGCGCCCGGACCGCGAAGGGGGAGCTTCCTGCCCTAGGGGTGTGGGGGGGTGTCCCTTAGACTAGAGGAGGACTTTTATTGTGCCGGAAAGCTGGGGAGTTCAACGCTGAAATATTGGGGGGGCAGCCCCTTTTCCAAAGCAGACTGACCCCCCTTAACTTGGTGATTTTATGACCTAATAATCGTTGGGGGGGGCTGAAGCAGCGGGGAGCCCCGGGGGGGGTCGGGGTCAGAGAGGGCAGAGCCCCTATGGCGCCTTCCCCTCCCCCCTTGTGCTTCCTGCGCTTCCGGGAGCCAGGAGCCCCCGCGGGGGGGGATTTGTGACTGGGGGGGCTCCCACAGGCGGTTTTCCCTAAAGTCCCGGCCCCGCCCTCCCCGAGGCTCGTCCTCGTGGCCGCCGCGCCCGCTCCCGCCTTTAACCAAGCCCCGCCCCAGCACATGGTCGGGGCGCGGGCCCGGGGGCCGGGGGAGCCCTCCGCCTGACGGTCGGGTGGTGGTGATGCCCGAAGCGGCGTGTGTGCGCGCCTGGTGCGCGTGTGCACTCGCGTGTCTGCGTGTGCGCGCGCCGCCGCGACTCCGCCTGGGTCACCGCGCTTTGTTAGCCTGGGGCGCCACCTGCTGGCTGCGAAGTAGCCTGCGGTGGCGGAGGCCCGAGGAGCCCAGGTCGTGGAGACCCCCCGCTGGAGGGGAGGGGGGGCGCATTTATGGAGCGGCGACGGTGTGCAGGGCGCCAGGTGTCATTTCGCCAAGAAAACCCCTTACGGGGTCGCGAGGAGTCGGACACGACCGAACAACTTCAAATAAGCCAGGCACCGAGCTGGACGCTTAGGGAGACCAGAGCCCAGGCAAGCCCTGACAGTGTAGTTAGAAGAGATGGGCAGTGAAGGCAAAAACAGCATGGAGCCCCGGGGGTGCTGAATTACAGGAGTGGCTAAATAAAGTTCTTTACCTGGGTGGATAGAGTGTCAGAGCTGGGGAAAAAAATCTTCGAAACCAAGAGCAAACCTCTCATTTTACGAGTTAGGAGATTTAGTCTAGGGAAGTGCATATTTCTTTGGTTTACCATTTTCCCGGTCCCTTCATCGACATACCTTCTAAAGAATAGTTTTTTTCACTGGGGCATAATTAATCCCTTTTCCTAGTAGCTGAGACAGTCCGTAGGTATGCTACCATTTCAAAAATAAAATAATCCTCTATCTTGGAGGGTAGAATATGATTTATTTTATTCCCATTAGCAATAGTTGAAATCCCACACCAAAAGTTTACCTGCAGAGAGGGAAAATGTTCCTGGTTTTTTAAAACGTCTGTCACCGGTGAAATGTTTCCAATTAAGAAAATTGACATGAAAGTTAATCAAGGGAATAAAAAGTGGAGGCCTAATTATCAAAATGCGTTGTTCAATTTCCCTTCCTTGTATCTCTTCCCACATTTCCCAGCTAAGTTCCTATCTTCAAATAATCATCCAAAATAATGCATCTTTACATGTATTCAAATGAAGAAGACAGTCTTTAAATCGGGTAATAAAACTTTGGTGCTCTCTCAGCTTTACTATGTCACTGTACCAAGTCTGTGTCACTGTACCGAGTCTGAAATTCTTTGATGCTATTAGGTTGAATAAAAATAAGAAATCTTTCTTCTTGGTATCTTGAAAATTCAAGTACTGGAATGTTTTGCTTATTTTTTTTTGTCATAATACATCCCATTAAACATTTTCTGTCCTGTTTGTTCTTTAATAGCCGGGGGCGTGAGGCTCATCTCTGTCATTTAAAGTGACTTACAAGTAGACCCTTGATAACTGTTGATGTATTTAAACTTTCTTGGAAGTCGAGCTGAATAGAAATAATTTGTCCTCCAGAAAAATAAATTGAGAAGTTAGTGCTATGTTCTTTTAATTAGTGACCGTGAAATTATTTCGTGACACTTTTTACGAACAAGTTTTTACTACATAAGGAGAATTATAAAGAAAATAATTCATTTTTTAAAATTCCATGCCTGAACAATTTTTATTATCCTTACGCTGATGGGAAGAACACTTTGTATATATGAGTCTTAGCTCTGCCGTTGGCTTGGTTTCTTTTCAGTGGCTTATTTTCCTTTCCTTTTGGGAGAAGTAGAAATAACAGTTTTTCTCATCAATCTCATTAAAGATTGTAAGAATGAGAAAATTAACAATTATCAATAGAACTGATTTGTAGCATTTTTAGGAAGAAGAAAGTGCTATTCAAAGACAGTTGATATATCACAATAGGGAAGAGGGTCATAAGCTCCCCCTACATAGCACAAGCTGGAACCTGTATGAGGTAATAATGATTCTGCCATCCAGTACCAAAACATAGCACACAAAGGGAAAAGTTACATTTTCAAGTGCCATAGTAATTTTGGTAAATAGGAAGGAGAGGCTTTTATGCCCTGATGCCTCGTTTCCTTTAGCCACAGCTTGATTTCTTTTAGGACTTGGCATGTCTATTTTATGACCTTATTGAAACAAAAATCTTGTTAACTGAAATAGAACAGAAAGTCTTTTTAAATAATAACCTCATTTTGTGTTACATATAATTTTTTTTAAAAAATTAGTCTTTCTGTTTGTTGTTTTTTTTACCAGTTCTCAAAGTTTTCATATTTTAAAAAATACTGTCATTTATATGTATGGGATGACAGTGAGCAACAGCAGCCTGAAAAAAAATCTTAGTCCCGCTGTGGATCGTTTTTACATTATTTATTAAAATTCATATTTGCCCATGGAATGATTCCTTTTAGGACCTGGGTTTAAAACTAATTTGTTTAACCAAGATAGTCTTGTGATTAGATCACTTAGAAATGGAAGCTATTTACATTAAAACATTTGGGTTTTTGAATGTAAGTTAGAATTTTATTTTACTTTGAATAATTTTTTTTTCTTTTCTGGTTGGTTATTATGAGTGTGCTTTCTTTTCTCTTTTCAAATTACAGTCTGCTGCAAATCCTGAGACTCCAAACTCAACCATCTCGAGAGAAGCCAGTACCCAGTCATCATCAGCCACAGCCAGCCAAGGATATGTTTTACCAGAAGGCAAAATCATGCCAAATACAGTCTTTGTTGGTGGAATTGATGTTAGGGTATGGTGGTCAACATTCTTAGTAGTTAATAGGCTTTGAGCCTTTTGGGCTTCAGTCCTTGCATAAACTTAACATAAACCTGGATTTGGTTCTCTTTTCAACTAACTGGAGACAAAGGCTTTGTGTGGTTTTGGGTTAATGAGGGAAGGACTTGTTTTTTATAGTTGAGTTGGGAATTTGGGACACAGAATTTTTATTTTTGAAGCTAAATTCTTTTTCATAGATGGATGAAACAGAAATTAGAAGCTTCTTTGCTAGATACGGTTCGGTGAAAGAAGTGAAGATAATCACTGATCGAACTGGTGTGTCCAAGGGGTAAGTGAGACGTATTTCATGTTGATTCTGTGAAAGTGTATGGATGTTACTGAAATCACTAGAGAAGCAGATCTTTAAAATTGATATGTTTATATAGCTGTGTCAATGGGTAAGTAAGACATTTAATATTTGCTCGGTGAAAGTAATCTGGATGTTTAGTGAAACCATTAGAGAAACAAATCTTAAAGTCGGTACCTTTATAGCTGCATCAATGAAATTGGACTACCACATGATTCATTGCTTTGTCACTTTTTAAAGAATGTGTTTCAGTGCAAAGGGCTGGCCCTTGCCAATGTTATAGCTGAAGTAGTAGCTTAGTTTCTTGATATAAAATGCCTGCTGCCCCGATCTTAAATGTTGTATTTTCCCTTTAATTAATAATTTATGTTTTCTTCCTATGTGCCACAATTCATTAAATTTTACCATAACCTTTTACATGACTTTAGGACAAAAACATAGTTGACATTTGAGGAAAACAAACTAAAAAATCTTGAAACACTTTGTGACTTGATACAGGGATGTTGTAGTAAGTCCTTTCCCAACCCTGTTTTAAAAGGTTTTCTACTAGCCTGTGTTTTGTAGGGAAAATACATTCCAACAGATTAATAGCTAGTATTTCAGTTTCCAAACTCTTAAGTAAACTAGGCTCTCCTCTTTTTGTGTAACTTGCCTTACACCTGGTAAATGGACAGAGCAGTTTGAATTTCCATTCCTCCATGCCTTTGTCATGTGTTTCTTTCATTGTTATAGTTCTTAATGGTTCCATTTGGAAGTGTCTGCCTCAAATGGGAGTTGTTATGAAAAGTGCTCCTTTTGAAATTATAAAATTCTTTCACAATTTTTCAGAATTGAATTTCTCAATTCTGTACTTGTGACTAAAAATTATGAGAGGTCATTTGAACAGAGACTTATTAACATCGCAAATTATTTCAAATAGTAATACAGACTTTGGGGGAGAAATACATCATTGGCACTTTCATTAGAAAACCATTTTGTTTGATTAGATTTCTTGTTTTTTAGCTTAGTTTGTATAAAATCTTGATAATCTGTCCATGGACCTGCCCATCCACTTTCCAGGTTGATATCAATGCATTAACCACCACACTTTGGGACTGATCATTTCAAACAATTTCAAATCCACCTAATTGTACTGTTGCTTGAACACGTTTGTTTATTTTCGTGTGTAAAGGTTATCACAAATTTTTTTTTCCAAATGATGATCACTTAAAATTTTCATTGTTTTAACATTTGGGATAGATTTTTATAGGCAAGCTGTGCAGATTTACAAACTATGAAACCAAAATAGTTTGATACGTTTTTAAGCATCCCTTTTTACCTATTCTTAGCATTAATTAAAAATATTCACCATTTGAGGGGAATTTTCCAAACAAATATTACTTGAACTTCTTTCAATAAGTTACATGATTAGTCAAGTTCTTAGATGTATCATCACCCTTGATAGATTTAAGGAATCTGTTTTCTCTTCTTGCTTTGTCTTAACACATTCTTTAGCCTCTTATAAATCAAGTGGCAGAAACTTCTTTTGACTCAGACCCAGTCTGAGGTAGAGGAGGCTTCCCACAGCATCTCTCTTGCCTCTTCTATTTCATCCCTTTACTATAAAAAGTGCCTTTATGTGGAAAGTTTTTGGGGAGAAATCATTATAACCAGAGTAGTTTTGAATGTTAACTGAGATTGATTGGGTAAAGAACCAGAGTTTGGTGTGTATAAACCTAGGCCAATAACCCTTTTTTCCCCCAAGGTTTATGTTTGTGAAAATCCCAGGTATGTTCTGCTTATTTGTACTATGCACATGACAATGGTCAAGTCACTTAACTGCTCTGGGCCTTGGTTTCCTCATTTGTATAATGAGGGGATCTCATTAGATCTAGGACTGATCTGATCATTCAACCAGCTTCCAATTCACCTAACTGTACTGTCAGTCAAACCTATATTTCTTCATCTTATCCATAAAGATAATGATGAAAGAATTTTCCAAATGCCTTGCCAAAGTCCAGTAGTCGTGTTACAGTGTAATCCTATATATCTTATTTTTATGCATTTTAAAACATTCCAAGAAGGGATCCTTAGACTTCACAAGATTACATGGGGCAGGGGGGAGGGGCTCCAGGAGGATCCAAAAAAGATTAAGAACTTCTGGACATATCTCATTCGGTGAATATGAGCTTTCTAAATAAATGGCTCCTCAGGAATATTACCAGTACTCTCTTAAGTGGAAAAATCAGTTCACTAATTAAAAAGGAACTATAAAGTTTTAGCTGTATTGGTTTTAAAAAAAAGGTTGTATTTTAGCAGTTTATTTTCATTAATAGTTACTGAAATGAAATTTATAAAGTATACATTCCTGGTTTCAAGCTAATAGTGAGAGAGAATGTGGAGTGGGAGAGAGGGTGTGTGAAGAGTAGCATCATAGGAAGGAAGGGTAGAAGTTGGGGGTTTAAATAGAGTAAGACATTAGAGATTTAATTTAACATTTTTTTAAAAATAGCGTACTTAAATTAAAATAGCCCTTTTAATATGCTGGGCACTGGTAGTTAATCCAAGGAGCTTCTGTTCTACTTGGGGGTGGGGGTAGACGTAAAACATACACAGATAAGTAAATAAATATATGAGATATACAAAGTTATGATGGGGTATGAACCGGGGGGAGTCAGGAAAGGTCTCTTTTAGGAAATGGCCCTTGAGCCTTAGACTTGGAGGGAGTCAGTAGTCTAAACTAAGGTTACAGTCAATCCACAGATATTTCCTGGGCATCTAAATTGTATTAATTATGGACTGTGGAGAATAGAGAAGTGAGTGTAATAGGAAGACCATCCAAAATAGGTTCCTCCTATATAAGATAGGGATGATATAAGAATTAAGAATTCTTCCCAAAAGTTACATCCTAATTTCTATCTGGTGTGATTTCATAAAACCTGAGAGGGAGAAAGTTCCTGAAATTATAATTGCCTGATGGTGACAACATATCCTATTAATCATCTTTAATCTGCCTTTCTAGCTATGGATTTGTTTCGTTTTATAATGATGTGGATGTGCAGAAAATAGTAGAAGTAAGTAATCTTTTTAAAAAATTTTTATTTTGGCTTTTGGTGGTAATGGTATTTTGATTCCTTTTAAGTAGTTACATATGTTTGTTAATAGAGAACTAGTTTCTTCCCATCCTGTAGTTTTGAAAATTAAACTATTTGCTAACTTGCCAGAAATCCTAAACATTTCTCTGTAATTGGTTCCCAGTTTTAGAGAGGAGATGGATCCAGGCTAGAAACAGTTGTTATTTGTACGTGTGTTTTGTTTGGGGAAGGGAAAGACTGAATAAAATAAGAGCAACTGTCTAATGAGAGGGCTTAATTTAGCTGACCCTCCCACATTTGTCTAGTCAGGAAGCATTAGTTACTATTGAGGCAGAGTAGTTTATCCAGGTCTTCCACAGCTCCCTGCAGTAAGCTCTGAGGTCATCTTTAGGAAAGACACTGGGAAAACTACTACTTTTTTTCCCCCCAGTCACAGATAAATTTCCATGGTAAGAAGTTGAAACTGGGACCGGCTATCAGGAAACAAAATTTATGTGAGTACATATATGGAAGAAGGGTTTTGGGAGAGTTTTTTGGTTGTTACAACAATAGTTTTTTTGAATATTGAAATTGTTATTATTTTGCCTTTTTTTTTTCTTTTAAAGGTGCCTATCACGTGCAGCCACGTCCTTTGGTCTTTAACCCTCCACCAGCACCACAGTTTCATAGTGTCTGGAGTAATCCAAACACAGAGACATATATGCAGCCTCCAGCAATGATGAACCCCATCACTCAGTATGTCCAGGTAAAAGTTATCTGAGCTCTTAATTTTTCAGTTTCTTAATGTATTACTGTAGTCCAAAATCATGGAATCAGTCTGGAACCTTAGGGATCATTGAGTCTGACTTGCTACCTAATTTAGGAATATCCTCTGTAAATATCCCTGATAAAAGGTTATCTAGCTTCTGCTTGAGCACTTCCAATGATGAGGAACTCACTACCTCACAAGGGATCCTATTCCATTTTTGGAGACCTTTAATTGTTACAAATTTTTTCCCCCTATTGAGCTAAAATCTGCTTCCGTGTGGTAACTGCCCGTTGGATTTCTGGGGTCACGTACTTTCTTTTACTATTTTCACGTAACAGCACATTAAATGTTTCAAAACAACTACTGTGTCTCCATGTGGTCTTGTCTTCAAGTGAAACATTTCCAGGTCCTTTGTTCATTGCTATCCTTTGGTCATGTCCATGTTTGTTAATATCGCCATTAAACATGTAGTTCCCAGAGCTCAACTCAACTTCATAAAGAATCTGACTATTCAAATCACAGTGATATTATTGCTTCCCTTTATCAGAAATGAGTCCTCATATTAATAAAACCTAAGGCCTCATTAGTTTTGTTTTTGGTAATCACATTACACCTCTGATTCATACTAAGCTTTGCAGTTAGTAAGACAGCTCAGATCCTTTTCAACTTTAATTTCTGTCAAGCCAGAATCTCCACTATTCCATATGCATATAGTTGAAATTTAATAGAATTAAATGTAAAGTCCTGCATTTAATATTTTAACAGTCATCTTTGTCTTTACCCTACCTTCTAGTAATTTGTTGAAGTCTTACTGAATTTTTATTTCTTTCATCTACTGTGTTAGCAGTTCTTCCTCCAAGCTTGTAATATTTACAAACTTGATGTGTCTTTTATATCTTCAAACAAGTTGTTGATTAAAAATGTTAAAAGGCATAAGACTGAGTACAATGTATTCTTCAGTGGTGAATCTAGTTGCTGTACTCATTTAATCCACATTTCACTATCTTAGGAAATATGGAACAGCTTTGTCAAAAGTTTTATCGAAGTTGAGACATAGGTTGTGTAAGGTGGTATTTCTCTGATCTGTTCTCTTAATGAATCCTATTAAAGAAGGAAATGAGGTTGATTTGATCTGATAGGTCTGTATTCCTTTCTAAATGCTCGTAGGCATCAATTTAATAGTTCATTCTATGACAGGGAATTAAATTTAGACTTTCTAAAATTGGAATAAAGTTTTTGTTGCTTGTCTTCTGGGGCTTTTACTTTTTTGGTGTTTTTTCAAAGAATACTTCTAGAGATCACTTCTACAAGTTCTTTCTGTACTCTGGATTATTATTTCATCTGGGCCCCAAAACTTGAAGACATTTAAAAAGTAGCTGGAGCCCTTCCCCTATCTTGACCTTCAGTTGCTTGCTCTCTCCCTCTCCCTCTCCATTGTCTACCCAAAGTTTGTCAGCATAAAGACCATTCTCCTTGCTAAAGATGATGGAAGCAAAATTAGAGTTGAGCATCTCTTCTGTTCTCTGTCAACATTACACCATCTTATTCAGGCAGATCTGTTCTGTGCTTGTTGCTTTCACTATAGCTTAAAGTCCTTTCTGCTGTCCTTGGCATTTTGAGGGAGGGGTGCCTGCTCATTCTGGACTGAGTTGTGCATGCCACTTGTCATAATCAAGAAGCATTCATTAAGAACCTGTTATATAGTGGAATCTCCGCAAAGTACTATTCTGATGCCTCATCAGGATTCTGGGTACTTGGAGACAGTGTCATTGGAAAATGAGCTCTGGCTAGTTCTGTTGTGCTGGCACAGTTTTGAATCATAGTCTTGGCAACAGATTGTACGTTTTCCAAGGACCAGCTTAGCAAAGTACAGAGAGGCTCCTGTCTTGGAGGAGTTGCCTACTGATGACAAAGCCATGACCCCTTTAGCCAAGGTACAAGAAAGCCTTCTGCAATGATGATGACAGTGGGGGTCTAGTGGATGCTAAGAACCATACAGCTTTTAGGTTGTCTACACACATTCTTAGCTGTTTATTCTAAATGAATGACACTTGTTCAGTGGCAGAATGGGTACTTAGTAGAATAATTGAGTTATAATCTAGTGTGACATTCTCCATAGTTATGAAACCATAAGGCAAAATGAAGTTGCCCCTAAGGGAGGGAGCTTTGAGGTTGTCCTTGTAAAGACAAATAAAGGAGTTGGCAGAGTTGACTTTATCCTCTGTCCAAAGACTAAGAAGAAAGGAACATCGTTCCAAGAGATGTTTGATCATCTTACGTTACAGTGCCCAAGATAAGCATTTGCAAAAAGACCATCATACAAATAATTTCAGATTATACGCCAGCTGCTGCAGAGAGTGAAGAGGTACAGATCCTACAGTCACTTTGATGAGACCCTCCCAGTTAAATCAGCACACTTTAAAAGCTCGATGATGTCAATTCAAAGATGGCAAAAACTATGTTGAAAAACATCATTCAGGAATAAGAAATGAGGGAGGAAAGGAAGAGTTTTAGATTCTTGCATACAATTGATCCTGAGTACTTTGATGAGGCATTGGACAGATAGGAGATGACTGGTTACCAACGTGGCAGGTGTTTCCTAATCTATATGTATGTTGTCAGTCCACTGACTTGTTAGACCACATCAACATTCACGTCAAAAGAAGAATGAAAATGAAAAGATAGTTTTTGCATCCAAATGACAGTTTGATCCTGTTCTGTTGAAAGAAGCTCCCTGTGCTAGAAAATGGGAAATAGATGAAAGGACAGGCACTGACAGACTATTAACATAGCCTAAGGATGCTTAATCACAGTAGAACAATGGCTTCCAGAAGCAAACACTTGATGCCTCTGTTCTGCCGAGCAGAGAGATGAAAGTAGAAAGGAGTACACTTTCAGAGGAAAAGCTAGTTTGGTAGATTTTACATGGGAGAGGGTAGTAGAAGATTATACAGAATACTGACTCAAACACAAGGGGCAGTGAAGGCAAAAACAAATTTGTGGGAAGCCTGTTGAGAAACACAAGCAAAGTCATCCCAAGGGTAGATAAAGGTGCAGTGAGGAGAACAAGAAACAGATAAAAATGGAAAAGAAAGGTTTACAGTGATTTCTATGAGAAACACTTCTGTCAGTTTGTTGTAAGCACCACATTTAGACTTTAACTCAGGTCGGGTTGTGTGTTGCATTAAAAAATAGAAATAGCATGAAAGGGGGCAGCTAGGTGGCACAGTGGGTATGGGTCCAGCCTTGGAGTCAAGAGGACCCGAGTTCAAATCTGGATTCAGATACTTGACACTTACTAGCTTTGTGACCCTAGGCAAGTCACTTAACCCCAATTGCCTCACCAAAAAGCAAATTAAAAAAAGCATGAAAGGATAGATTAGGAGGAGAGATGGAGAATAGAGTACACAGAGAAGTTCTGTAGACACCACAATTTTGAGTTCATTGAAGCATCTTGAAAGGGAAAACTAACAAAGGCTGGGGGGGATCTCAGACCTTATTACTTTTTTAAAAAGTGACAAAGAGAATAATACCAACCCAAATGCATACTCCCGTCTCTCTACAAAGTTTTTATGAGAAAAATCTATGCACACTTTGAGAGCACCCATGATGAAGGTGTGAGAAGGGAACAAGCAGCTATTCATAAATGATACTACATAACAAACTTCAGTTTTTAAAGATTTGAGGGGGAGGTATAGAGAGTAAAAGGTCTAGCCGTGCATGTTTGCCGACTAGGGAGACATTTGATTTGGGAGTGTGGAACACTATGCTTCTCTCCAAGAGTATCTTCAATGTGTGAATCAAAAGAGCATGAAATTAATTGCTCAAAGCCTGTAAGGACAGTGATGACTTTTGTGTAACTTGCTTATAACATCAAGTGATGTTAAGGGAGACACACTTGCCTGTAGCACTTAAATCAGTAGGAGAATATTCTGTATAGAATCCAAATAGAAAACGGATTCCCTAGAGATGGTGCTGTGAATGTTCCTTCTTGTGTTTTATGTTGTCCATTTCAAGCTTTGAAACGTTACTTCCTGAATGAGATCTATAGCTATTCAAGTTTGGTCTCATTAGTCACACACAAAAACAAGTGGACAAAGAATTCTTGTTTTCTCTACTATGAGATGCATTTGGATGGACAACCATTAGTACCTGTACCTTGGATAGATAATGCAGGTGGATTAGTGAAATAAGCCCAGAATTGAGCAGAAGGAGTAAACTGGATTGTCCTTGGGAAATTGCATTGTACAATACTTCTCATGACACCTTTCTCTAAAACAAGGGCTTGTCTTTTTTAATAGTGATTCTTTCACTCTGTCTTTCTGTGGGTTCCGCTGCTTTAGAATTTGTTTAGAGCCATTTTTTTACAGGTATTTGGAGGGGTTTCAGTAGTGTGATTCTTAATGGCTCGTCAGGAAGCGAGTCATGCAGTCCTCAAAGAATTAAAGTTGCTGATCGTCCAGGGACAATGGAGAGACTTGATGCAGGATTGAAAAGGGTGTAAAAATTGGGTGAGAAAAGTGCAGTGTAAAAGTATATCAGAGAGATGTAGAATGGGCATGATACTAAATTGAAGATTGTCCTAGTTTTGCTACCCACTACTTAGAAAGGACTTAAGGATCTCATCAGACATCTGAAATTCGGCTTTTGGTATTGGAAGTCAGCCACTTCACTCACCAGCTTAATTCCCTTTTCTCCTGGAAAATGGCTAGCATTTGATAATGAAAACGTGCATCAGAAAACATTTTTCCTCTGTATAGAATCAGGTTTACTGAGTTGTAATTTTTGCATATTTTGTACATGTTCAGCTTATTTGAGCATGCCTAGATTTCTTAAATTTATAAATTTCTTTAATTTAGAAATCTTCCTCTTATAAAAAAAACTTTTTAAGATGGTACCTTGTTACAGAAAAACACTAATTACATTTCATTTGTAGGCATATCCTCCTTATCCCAATTCACCAGTCCAGCTCATCACTGGATATCAGCTGCCTATATATAACTATCAGGTAACTTTTAAAAAAAAAGTACAGCTACATTCTTTTGATGTTGGGATGTTTCACTTGATGCTCATTTTCCCCCAGATAGTTTGCCCCTTTAACAAGGGAAATGTGCCAAAGACAGGAATGAAATAGGGTGTTTTAATAGTTGAATTAGAGGGATGCTCTTTTTTATGTTCTGAAGTTTGGCTCCCTTCACCAAATTTCTGTATACATTAGAAAATATGTTGAGTTGTCTGTCTTGTAAGAAGAATTCTCTGTTTTCACAAAAACTCTTCCCACTTTTATGTAGTTAAGTAATCTAGCATAGTATAGTTGATCTGTATGATTTTTTTCATGAGGAGAAGTTGAAATAAAATAGATTACCTAATTCCTATGGAGCACTAAAGTTCGGCTAGGTCGGCTTTCCCTGATTTTAGATTAATTTCTTCAAATATTTCTCAGATACTGACCTCCTCTAGAGGAAAAAATTCAGAAAACTATGCCATGCCCATGTCTGCTTGAAACCTGACTCCAAAAAAAGTAGAGAGAAATTAGGGTGAATTTAACAGAAACAAAATTGTATAAACTTTCTTTTATTCCCCATTAACATGAATAAATATGATAAATAACCATATCTAAGTTAGGTACTTTAAGAAATATTTGCAAAATCGATGTTTTTTTTGCTCTAAGGTACCTCCACAATGGCCTGCTGGGGAACAAAGGAGTTATGTTATACCTCCGGTAAGGGGAATTAACAAATATAAACTTCCTCATATCTTCCTTAGTGTTTTATAGAACGTTGTTTGTTATCTTTGTTGACTGGCTGTTCTGTCGTCAGGTATGTCATGTTTCATTAATTCTGTTGTCACTAGATGTGTAAGCCACTCTGTGGTAGGAGTTAAGTCACTGATTTCTTTTGTATTCCTAAATAGCATCTAGTGTCTTGCACACGGCCATTGTTTAGAATTACTTGTTGAGTTTACAATCTAAACAGAGGGTTCAGAATTAAGGGGGGGGGGTTGTCCCTGCTGCTCATTTTTTTGCCACAAGGGGAAGAAAAATAATAGGAAATTTTCAATAAAATTTGAATTTAAAGTTTCAAGGAAAGTATTGAACATTGTGGTAGATTTTGCATTTAGAGGAGTTACGATTTAGAAGGGTCAGATATGTCTGCCTCGTATATTTACATGTCATTGTCTCTGGAGTACAGATACAACATGGAGTAGTGGCTAGAGAGCTGGCTTTGGAGGCAGGAAGGACCTGGATTCAAGTATTGCCTCTGACCTATGTTGGCTACATTGACCATGAGCAAATCAGTGACCTCTCAGTGCCCCAGACAATTCTAAGAATGTAAATTATAGGAAAGGTGCCTGTGTACGTTGTTTCTATGTCAGTGAAATCACAGGACTGGTCCGCAGGCACACAAGTGCATGTGCTTATGTTTTATTTAGATTATGTGTATAATAAATGGACACACATTGGCATCAGGTCCTGGTCATTCCATTGATTAGATAGAAATTTAGATGGATTTATCAAATACTATGTTCTTTAGGTGGCTTTCTGAGCTGGAAGATTCCTTTTTCCCTATAAGATGATTTTACTTAAAATAAATTTTGTGAAACAGAATAAGATGGATTGGGATTCAGTCAGATTATGAAGTCTGCCTTCTAAATGATAGCATCAGCACCTACTTTGGAAGAGAAGATATTAGAAATGTTTTTTAGCACCTCTGACTATTTTTATTTTTTAAATGTAGGCTTATACAGCTGTGAATTATCACTGCAGTGAAGTGGACCCAGGAGCTGAAGTCCTGCAGACGGAGTGCTCTGTCCATGAGGTCACACAGTCCTCTGGGAATGGCCAACAAAAGGCAAGGGGGTGATTTCAGCCTGGATAATAGTCATCTCTGTTTACATTCTGGTAGTTACCAAAACCGAGTGATAGTCCTTGTGAAATTGTTAGCTTTACCCAAATTTCTGATGAATTCTAATCACATAAGTTAGCACATGAGAGTTTGGAAGCCCCAAGTTTTCAGCATGAACATGTGAGCTGCTGCTTCTGGAATTCTTTTTTATCCTTTAATTGTTGTCATCCTTTTATCTGTAATGATCATCGTAGTGTTGAAAGGCAGTACAGGTTAATAGACAGACATCTGATCTTGAAGTCAGGAAGACCTGGGCTCAGGTTCTGCCTTGACAGTGAGCTAGATTTGTAACCACAGGCAAATCACTTAACCTTTTAGTTTTCCCAGGTTGCTCTCTTAGGATGATAAATTACACACAATTGGCTCCAGACTAGGGAATTCTTAAACCAATTAAATTACAGGTCTAGAGCACTACCTCTTTCCTTCCTCCTCCCCCCTTTCCCACAATCACTTAACTAATTAACAAATATTTATTAAGCACATAATCATTTAACAGAAGAAAATAAGTTGGTGGCTTCAAAAATTTTGCTTCAGGGTCATGACTAATTTATTGTTTTCTCTGTCCAGTGTTTAGTATTTGTCCAGCCAGATGGCTAATTTGCCATTTTCCTAATATATATTTTCTTAAGTTTTTAATGTTTTTGGAACTCTCAAGACTGAAAGTATTGAGCTCTATAATATAATATTTTTCTGGAAAAAATCAGGGTTGGTCTTTATTGCTATTATTAAGAAAATTTAAGAGAGTCATGTGCAAAAACTTTTAACAATAGAACTTGTTGACATTTGTTAGTACTCCTGATTGTCAGAAGTCTTAGAATGGAAGGAACAGTGCTGTCATTTAAACTTTTAAGGTGGTCTTCTTAGTATTGAATGAAAGAGAGGTATATGTAGCCTTTAGGCATATGCTACTAACAAGCTCTGTGTTTCAGAAATCTGTGGACCGAAGCATACAGACAGTGGTATCCTGTTTGTTTAATCCAGAGACAAGGCTGAGAAATGCTCTTGTAACACAAGATGACTACTTCAAGGTATAGAGTGAGAAGTTTGAAAAAAATTATCACTTAAAGTTTTAAAATATTCCTTTTATATTATTTGTGTTCTGGCTAGTGGGGCCACTTGATCAAACTGTAGGCACTCCCTTGTAAAGAAATAAATCACAGTGAGTTAGGCCCAGCAGCATGCTGTTTAAAACTTTGATATCTAGTTTGTCCTTAGGGAAGAAGCCTGTAGCAAGAGATTATATTCCAAAGCCTTCTTGAAAGAAGTGAGTCAAAAGAAATTGTTAATTCTAGATGTAGAAGGCAATATAGAATATGGTGGCTATGAATGGATTACTCAGGGAGAAAGCTAAGTAGTTCTTTTGTAATAAGGTAGAATGAGTTGATTAGAGGGAAGAAAAATAGAAGCTGATTCAGAGTCATCAAAGCATGGAAGTTTGAGTTTGAGGTCCAGGCCTGACTGTCAGTCCTGTCTCTTCTCCTAAATCACTGTGTGAGACCAGACAAATCAGTTATCCCTTCTGTTGAACTTCCCAGATCTCTTCTCGGGGAATTTATGAATGTGACAGCTGATAATGAGACTCACTTATGAAACTCATGGTGCAAACATTGGAGAGGAACATGCTTTGAGCCAATTTTTTTTTTTAGTGCCATAAGGCAGTGGAAGGAGAATGTCTTTCTTCCCCCACTACATGTGTGGACAAGGGTCCGTGCATGACAGATGGCTCCTACCTAACATGCCCACAGAGCCCAAATCCCCCTTCATTTCTCTGTGTCTTTCTCCCTCCTGGGAGACATTCCACTGATGGGCCCCCTCAATCCCCAAGAGGTCCTACAATTCTAAAGAGGCCATGACTCATGAGAGCAGCCATCCCTAGCAGGAGTAAACTTGGATAATCTTCCTTGGGAATTAGAATATTACTAGTGAAAACTAGGGTTGACATGGTGTAGAGGCCCTACCAGCTGTGGAGGATTTTGGCAAGTGATTTCACCTCTGCTTCAGTTTTCTCATTTGTGAAAATGGCACTGCCTCCCAAGGCTAGAACAAAATACCATGTAATTGTGGGCTTTTACTTTTATTATTTTCAAGCAATAGCTCATGTAAGTTTTCTTGTTGCTTCTGTCAGACCATAGCCCTGTCTGAAAGTATGCAAGATGGCTCACTTCCTTGTAGATTGTCGGGGCAGGGGTTGGGTGGGGGATGAATAAGTAGTTCTTCTATATGTCTTTAAAGATCAAAAAGGGAGGGAAAAGCTTTTCAAATAAAGTTTTCCTTTAGGGTTCATGAGCATCTACAGTATGCCTTCCTGATGCTAAAGCTTTTGCTTCATTATAATAGAAGTTCATGCCAAGGAAACAGATTCCTAGGAGAGAACCTTACTGACATAATATAAGCTGGGTTGGTTGGTGGTTTTTTGCCAGTTTCATATGAGTATCATTCACATTTATTTATAGAGCATTTTAAGGTTTACGAAGTTGGCACAGTCCTTGCAGGAAAAAAGACATAGTTGAGTCAGCTTTGTTAAATGGCAAAAATACTGTATTTACTAGTGGTCTCTGCCTCTCCCCTTCCTTAGGACCTTGTATCCTGTCATCAGTAGAAATTAGGGCAAATGTAAGGAGTCTTGAGGTAGGATACATGTAGTATACTAGCTTCTTTCTACCTGTGAAAGGAACACATTTTAAAAATTATTTCCATATATTCTCATTTTCCCCTTCACTCCTATAAAAGCTCTCTGGATCTCCATCCTAGGGAAGGGGGGTGGGGAATCAAGCTTTTTAGACTTTTGTCTGCTTAACATAATGGGATTTTAAGAAGGAATGTGAAGGAAGATTTCTGCCGGATGTTCTTTAGTTTTTTGTTTTGTTTTGTTTTAGGCAGTTGGGGTTAAGTGACTTGCCCAGGGTCACACAGCTAGGAGTTAAGTTTTGTTTTAACTATTTAAAAATAGTTGGAAGTTTTAACCAGCAGAAATAGATAATTATATTAATATCAGTAGCAATTTTGACCGTACATCAGTTGATTGTCAAAAATAATACTTATTAATTTCAGTGTCCTCTCTAAGTTTTGATGTGTAATTTTTTGCTTTTAACTGAACAGATAAATCAGATTGGCCAGATTCTTAGAGCTGAAAAGCGTTCAGGACTTGTATTTCACAAGACTCTAATTCTTCTAAGAGGTTCTGTTTTTGAAAGAAAACTGAACATTTATATAGTCTCTCATGACCTAAATTATTTATGTTAAAATGTTTTATAAATAATATTTTGTGTTATAATTACTCACATGTAGTACTTTATAATCTTGTTCTTTTTTTTTTAGGTTATATCAATAATAGGAATTTTTCACTGAAGTAAATGGAATATGTATATTTCTTCCAGGACAAAAGAGTACATCACTTTAGAAGAAGTAGGGCTGTGCTTAAATCCGTTTGAATCCTCTCTGCTGAAGCTTCCAGTGTTGTGGACAATAGTTACTGTTTTTGAGTATTACGAAGATACAGAGAGTTCCTGTTTTCCACTATTATGGAAAGTTAATTCTGAATTTTTTGACAACTTATTGCAAGACTTTCTGAGCAAGTTGTGTTAATTTTCTTAGTATGTTGTGTTTATTTTGCATTGAAACTATTCTACTTTGGATATTCACTTAGTAATTGGTTCTATGTTGAGTTAAAAGGGAAAAAGTCAGTTGAAGTAGACAGGTGTAACGTTAGGGTTTACATGTTAGTGCTTCAACTGGTACTGAAATGTTTTTGAGACTTTAAAGACAAATTGTTGGTTTTCAAAATTTTGCTTTATACAAACTTAGTGTTTTGAAAGGTCAGAATCTTGACAGTTCGACTGTTCTTAGCATTTAATCTCCAACAAATACCTCTTCAGCAGTACGATATTTACACTACAGTGCTTTGTGTTTATAATTTAATCCTAGAAATTTACCACAGAAGCAGACTTTTTAAAACTGCATTTTTAATCAGTGGAACCAAATATATAAAGTTGTAGCTTAATTGAAGACTTCCAGTTCCAAACCCAGTATTACATAGCAGATTCTCTACAGACAATCCAATCATTGGGTGTTATGTTTATTAGTTCAATTTTGCTTACGAAGTACCAGGAGTCCAACAATAGATAATTGATTGGGATGGCAATTAGGGTAATTCAAATTCTGGGTGTAATTTTAAAAACTGATACTAACCAAACCTTACTAGATACATAAGCTTCTCAGTGGGTTACTTTTCTTTTTCTTCTTTTTTTTTCTTTCCTTTTTTTTGTGTTTTTTATTGCTAAAATTTACTTCAGTAGCTATATCTAAATTGTGCAAAATATTGGCATTAAAAAGGATGCTGAAGCTTTTTTTATGTCACTTAAAGGTTAATCAGAGTATCTGAAAGGAATTGCTTTTATAAAAAAACTAATTTTAGTTATTTGTCATGGAACAAATAAAATTTTATTTTTGTTTGTTAACCTATTGCATTTTCTTTTTTCTTTTTTTTTTAAAGTAAAATAAGCCCAAGGGGCTCAAAATAGAAAATATTAGTCCTGACAAATCTCACTTCGTAGGTAGGTACTGCACTCAAGGGTTAAAAATCGATATCCAGCATTTGGGTTAATCAGATGCTTCTCTGACTCTATACGTTGGAATAGGTGATAAGAGGACAAGTCTTCCTATGTTCTTCTCTAAGTGTAGTAATGATCTGGATACATTTCATCCCAGTACCAGTGATTTGAAATCCAAGAGTCACCATTCTGAGCAGTCAGCATATCAGTAAGCCTTGTAAAGGTACTAGTGAGCTAAGGAGCCAGCATAGTTGGACGTTTGTGACTCTAACCTGGACTCCCACAGCCACAAGTTTGGAACAAGAGCCTTCATAAAGAGGGACTTCCTGGCAGTTTTCCTCTTGTCTGAATGCAGGTGCTGTTGACTTTGACTCCAGTCTTCCTACAAGCCTGAGATTTGATACTTCACATCCAAAGTTAGAAAGAATGGGGAAACTCTGTCATTTAAAGGACCCAAGTGCCTACTTCTCCCCAGGATTTGAAATTGTCTTTTACCTTCAGATAAAAGTTTTGCCATTCCTTTGCCTATTCATTCTAAGTTGTATTTTAAGTTTTGCGGAGCTGTTGCCCCAATATAGCCTCAAGAACAATATGTGTGAAGGAGAGAGAGTTCAGACCGTGACTTTTTTTTTTTTGGCTTTATCTTCTGAAGAAGTAATATATAGAAAAGATTAACACAGGAACACAGAAGGTTCTAAACTCCTACAAATAGGGACAATGGTTTTAAACAGAAATATGCTCTCAAAACATGGTACTGGTATTTAATTTACATTGAAATACCCAGTAGAAATTGACAAACCCAGTTTCAAAAGTGCTGATAACATAGGCACTTTATTGTATATGGTTAACAATGGAATTAGCTAGAGGGCCATGTTTCTTTGACATTTTTTGGCATAGAGGTATTAAGTTTAGTGCTCCAGCGAAGTTGGCTATAAAGAGCAGTTTAAGTGAAATAAATCTTTTTCAGTTGCTTTTCATTATAAAATTAAAGATGCCTTTTCATGGAAAAAATCTTAACTGGGCCAAAAATTTATACGAAGGGAGGGTTTAATATAGTAGCTTGTGCTATGGTGAGCTTATATAGTATGTCAATAGCATAGTTAGAGGAGATGAGAGTGTAGGAAGGGAGTAAATTTATGACAGCTTCTGGTGGGGGTTAGTATATATATAGTAAGAGTTTATGCTTCCCAGTACTGATTCTGGGATGCCTTCAGATCATTGGGGCAAAGCGTTTTGCTGGCCATCTCCTGGCTCTGCCACACTGTCTTGCTATTTCAGATGTGTGTGGTTTTGGTTTTGGTTTTTTAAAATAGATCATAGATTCTTCCTAGGCAAACCTCACTTATTTAAAATGAAGTTACTTGTAATCCACGTGGTGTGAAGAAGCTGCATATACTGGCTTAACTGCTAGCAGGTAATAAAATAGCTTACATGGTGAGTTTCTGTTGCATTTCCCTCAAATGTCCCTCTTATTTCATTTTGCATCAGCTGTGACAGTGAAGGCTGCTTTGGGTGTAGTTTGAAGTCTAGCAGGAGCTGAGCTGTCCAGGTAGCTGAGGCTCTTCTCCACAAGGCATGACCCGCTGCTAACTATGACCCCAGGGTAAGCATGTGAGCTTCAGGGGTCAGCTTTTCCTGGGCCATCGAACTGCACGTGGCAAAACCCTATAATAGCAAGTTTAAGAATCATCACAAAAGGAAGTGGAATGACACAGCGAGCATTTACTTGTCCACCTGAAGTGTGTCAGGGGGATTAGTTTTCATTTCTGTGGGCTCCTTTTCTTCTGTGCTTTACCTGTCTAAGGATAACTGAGAATGCTGAGGGAGGCATTTAGAAATCCTGGAAAACACTTCCTGAGGCATTGAAACACGATCTTGTGTCCAGGGTAGTTTGGGCTTAGTATTAGTATTTTAAGGCTTTTCTAATACTCACTTGGAAAACTGGTAACCTGGATGGTGTTATTCCAAAAGAGAACTAGACCCAATTATAACCTTACTAAGTCAAGAACTTGGCATTTAAAACCTATCCCAGTCTGGCTCTTGCCAAGTTCTGTGCATCTTACTCTCCACTTAACTCACTGACCTCAGTGGTGCCTCTGCAGCATTCCTAGAATGGGCTGGCTCCTCATGTCCACTTAGAATCTGAAGTTTCCTTCTAAGCCTAGCTCATGCTGTCCTTATGGGAAGCTTTTCTTGATTACCCTATTTCTCAATCGTACTCTGTCTCCCCAGATTGTCAGCTATATACTTTTATAATCATTCATTTGGAGCTGGAGGGGACTCGGAGGTAATCTAATAGGAAATGTTAGGGAGGATTTGGACCCAGGTCCTCTGAATCCAGACTTATTGCTCTTTCCATATACCATTTGGTGATATCTATAGTATTGCCACCAATAAGTTGTGTGCTTCATGAAGGCAGGGAAGAGCTCTGTCATTTTGTCTTTATATCCCCTGTACCCAGCACAGAGTCTTGAACCTAGTAGGCACTTAGTAACTTGCTGGAATGGTTTGAAATATTGGATTAACCAGAACATTCAATCCCCTCACTGCAGAATAACAAAGTTTACTGTATTTGAAGCTCCAGAGCTAGAATACAAATCAGTTTAGGACTGATGTTGGCCTGATTTTGTGTTACCTTAAGGTTCTTTTCAGTTACTTTCAAGAGTTAATACAGAATTGTAATTTCTTTTGAGTTTTTTAAAATGAATATGTGCAGTACCTTGAGGAAGGGAAAGTGGTGAAATTGAAAAGCTCCAAAAAGTCTGTACCTCATTATACACACAACCATACTTTAAAAACAAAACAACAAAACTTCCATTGTGGTTTATTTTTAACTGTTCCATTTTAATTCACACCTCTGCCTCCTAGGAGCATATGCATTTAGAAGTTATTGACTTTCTGAAATGTAAGCATTCCACAGCACTTTCCTGTTAGTTTTTAGTGTTCCTCTACCTCTTCTTAAAATCCTTTTAGCTTTCCTTAAAGGTAACGGTTGTCTTCATAACAGGCTTAATAGCTTTGGCTGCCTTCAGTTGCCATAGGATACGTGTACAATTTGGAGGCATTGAAATCAGCCAGAGTTGTATTTCCTTTCACAAAAATGGCAAATAGTGGAGAGGGTGGAGCTATAAAGGGGAAACACTGCAGCGTTTTTCATTGACCAGGTCTTACAAATACGTCCAGCTGTTGAATACGAGCATTTGGAATTCCTGAGACACTCCTTCAGGATGAGGATAGCTCCTATACATATTTTGAAAACTAGTCTAGTGCTTACTGACATTACGTGTAATGTCTTTCTTTGTAACTGATTCTTTGTGCTATTCCTCACCACCCATCAAAGATTTTGAGTTTTCCATCTGTAGGTTATATAGTTAGTTGTAGAAGACAATAAATGTAAGAAGTTAAAACAATAAACCTGCGTGTTGAATGCTCATGCAAAATACCCAATCTGCATAGCAAACAAATGATAGGAAATTCTACATTGCATTCAGATTTAACATCTGTCTATTATGACTATAGCTGTGGGCCAATCCCCAGGAAAATGGAAAAAAAAAGTCTCCTGGTGTTCAAACTTGGAGCACTACCAGTATACAATTAAGCTCTATGGGAACTATATTTTACATTTGTAACTGGTATGGAATGGAAAGTTTTCTAGTTCTATGTGTAGATCATTTTCCCAAGGCATCCTGATATTTCATATGTAGGATGTATTTCCATTAAAACCGGTGTGAGAGGAGTATGGCCATTTTGCCTTGTTTTATATAAAAGTCCCAGTTCTCTGGGTCTTTAAGAATAGAACGAATGCCCTTCTGACTGAGATGCTTTAGGTTATGAATGCTATATGAAGCTCTGGAAGCAGTAGCAGCATTTTAAGTAGCCCGGAAAGGGGGTTTTTGTAATCTTTGTTGGTATTTTTTTTTTGAAACAACCCAATTGATAACGGTGCTTTTAAGTTGTACAAATCCATTTGCATACATTATCTTATTTGGTTGACACAATAGCTCTGTGAGGTAGGTACAACTGCCCCATGTTATAGAAGAAAAGACAGATTCAGGTTCAATCACCTGCCTAGGATCATACATTTGGTAAGTGTTTCAGGATGGGTTTGAACATTTAGTCATCTTGACACCAAGCCCAGTTGCTCTTACCATAATCCGTGATATAAATTTGTGTAAATATATTATGGCTACAATTCCATCTGTATTTTGTCTGTAAGAAAAAAATGGCTAGAGACAACACGTCTCTCTGTCTTGGAAGAAATTGTTAAGTTGTGGAATGAAGAACTCAAAGCTCAGAATTTTGTCACTCTATACTCTGGAACTAAACTACATACTAGAGTCTTAACGATGGGAGTGGATAGATCAAAAGTTGTTCTTCTGGATTTCCCTTTCCTATTTGAATCTGGTGCTCAGAGATCTCTAGGGTTTGAACTGCTGCATGTTATTGAGTAAAATCTGAATTCCAATTACAGTGCATGTAAACTGCTTTGTAAGAACTACTCATTTAGAACATGTTTGTAAAATAAAACAGTATTTTTAGTATATTGGAAAACATAGTTATAATGACTTACTATATCAGAATAAATCCTTGGGCTATGAAGACCATGTTCTTCTGCCAGTCTTACTAAGATATAGGAAGGTATAATTATCATCTTCCACAATATTGACCTCACAGGTTAACAAAACACCCATGTCAAGTAGCGTGTCATGTGTAATGCCTCTTTGGGGCTGCCCTCCCACCTTGAGTGTGGAGGAGTTTGGGTTCTCTCCCCAGAAGTGATTAACTCACGTTCAAGGTGTTGCTCAGATCCACATTCGTGA